TGCAAACAAGTCCCAATAACTAATATATCACCCAGTAACATTTTTCATGCCTTTATACATCATTTTAAAACATTAAAACAATGTTTTAACCCCTACAAATGGTGTTGTACAACAACCATATATTTTCAAACAAGACATAGAGAAACAACTCTATACAACCCAAAAATAAAAACATATGTAACAAGGGACTAAAGAGTTGTAACATCCCATTTTTCTTAAAATATAAATAATAAATAATTTAGAATAATTAGAATATAATATAAGGGAAATATTTTATTAATAAAATAAAATAGAGGTAAATTAGAGGATTTTGGGCTATACTATGGGTCTAACTTAAGGGCTCATTTAAAAGAAGTAAAAGGAAATGGATTACATTATTATGCATCTTCTAGAAACCTATAACATTCATAGGAGAAAACCTAGAAGAGACCATCAGGAGAGGTGCAAATTAGTAGTCGAAGTTGCAAGAAGTGTGTTAATTTGCAAGATCGTCACTCTAGGTAAAGGTGAGTGAGATTATAAAATATATGGGCATATATGAGGGATAAAGGTAAAGAGGAGATCCCTAAGCCTTTTCGGTTGATGAATTTAATGTGTAAAGGCATATGAATAAATTGATGATTTAACCTTGTTTTACTCTATGCATTCATGTGTTGATTCATGGTGTATTAACATAATGGTGTTGACTTGAAGTTGCAATGAGTTAGGGAAATATGTACATAAATTGGAGCTTTTGATATGGTTTAATGTTTTGCATGATTTGATGATGATGACTGGAAATATGAGTGACAATAAGTATTTGACAAATTGAATTGAGAATTAAAGTAAAAGGATGTGTATGGATATATTTGGAGGGGGGGTTAAGGTTGTAAGTATGAGTTGAGAGTTTTGGTGTAGTTTGTTTAATTCTAAAATTTTTTGTATGAACATATCTTGATATTTAGGTAATTTCTCTCTACGTGATTAACCAAATAGAATTTCATTTGTTAAGTTAAAAACTAGACATTTTGGGATATAGTCCAGACTCGAGAATCACATAAAAATGCTAAGAAAAGATTGAGTTATGCGAGTCTCACATGGTAAGTTTCATGTTCTATGTGCGAAATTTAATTTTTAAAACTTGTAAGCATTATGAGGACCCTTTGATGAATGAATTATGTTTCATGGTATTCATAAAAGTTGTAGGCATTATCCATCATGGACTCTTAGGCTAATCTATATTTTGTTTTATGGCAATATGCGACATTATTTTTTGTTGGCACCACATGCATGATTAATTATAGTCTGTGTCCATTACATAATATATGTGAATGAATTTATGTATTAGCTTGTGATGGTTATGAGAACTTGATGAAGGACCATCCTTAAAGACTATATGACATTTGACACGGTCTATGGTTATGAGGCTAGAAAAAACTACTAGAGGGGATATGTTTCTTAAAGTTGTGCTTATCATGAGCATAAAATATGTGTTCTCTTCCTAATTGCTTAGTTTTCTATTATCTATACTTTGTATAATTTGTTTCCAGTTTCTTTGTATATAGTAGTTAAATGTATATGATGTTTTTACCCTTGTATTTAGGGGTGTATGTTTCCTTATTTGTAGGTCATGCCTTTAGGATTTAGAGACATGTTCCTTATTGAAATATATTCATTTTGACCTTGTATTCATGGTCACCATTTTTAGTTTTTTTTTTTGAGTTTAGTAGTTGAAATGGAAATAGTCATTATAATTGTGTGGCAATAGCCATTCTAGATGGTGTGGAAGTAATAAAGGTATGAAAATAGTCAAAAGTGATATTGGGCTTGTTTTTCTTTTCTTGGCCTAAGGAATTGATTTGACTTGGTTTAACCTTTATTTGGTCAACCAAAGCAAACCAATTCCTTGGTTTTTGTTTGACCAAGACTAGCCAAGGACACTTTGGCTGGTCACCTTGGCTAGCTTCCACCCTTGTAACTACTTCTCCAACCACCTAGAGACAAGAGGATACTTGACACTTGTTTGTTGGCTCTTCTAGATCTAGTCTCCTGTATGTCTTAAACATGCCTCCTAGAGCTTGTTTTTGATTGGTGGAACTAGATCTAAGTGTCTCCTTGTCTCTTAGATATCTAGCTTTCTCTCCAAGCTACCTAAGACTCTAGCTTCTTCCCCAAGCTACCTAAACTCTATATATAGGTGCATGAAACCATTTGTACACAACTTTGAGCATTTTATAGAGATTTGGCCAAAAATTCTTCTCCAATTTTCTCTCTCAAAGCTTATTTCTCTTTTTAAAATTCTTCATTTTCTCTTACTCTTTCTTAAGTGTGGTGAGAAATTGAAGAGACTTATCACTCTTCAAGAGTGTGTCATCACCTAAGAGAGCTTCTACCTTCGCTTGTGTGTTAGAAATGACTTCTAACATCAATGAAAGTCATTGAAGAAGCTTGAAGGAGTCCAAGAAATGAAAGGATCGCCAAAGAAGCTTAAAGGAGAAACTACATCAATTTAGTCTCTCTTAAGGTTTCCATCATTAACTAAGATTTTTTTCTTTTGGTTATATTTTAGGATAATTGTTATTCCATTGCGCTAGTTCCAGTCGTTAATTGTTTAGTTAAAATGCGATACTCTTTGTTGAATATTTGGAATTAATTTATGATAGACTCATTTAACTTTACGCGTCATATCCAAATCTCAACTCTATGAGATATGTCAAAACAACTAAAAATAACTGAAACTAATCCACAATCGTTTGGTGACTATTCAATAATAAAAAAGGATCATCTCCCTACCATACACAATTGTTCATCAACATATTCCATTTCATATGATTATACATTCCTCATAATCAACCACATCAACATTGCATATACAAAAATTTCAAGAATTAAGGATGACTAAATGTTTAACTTAAAAAATTAATTCACTTTCCTCAATATTTAAAACCACGTCAATGGAATAATGTCTTAGTTTGGTTTTAGTAATTTACACTTCTCCTCTTTGTTAATTCTTTTGACTTCATATCTTATATGAAATTTAATTTCACTTCACCAAATAAACTATTAAGTAATTCATGTACATTAACCAACAAAGGCTATTCTAGTTAAGTCATGGGATTTTATTGTTTTAAGTCACCTATAAGAGTTTTTAAATTGGATCTATTTAGATGAAATAACTTTGTGACTTCACTCTTCAACTCATTATTCTTTAACTTAGTTTTTCGATAAATTTAACAGCATGAAAATGTCATTTCTGCTCAAGATGTTTATAGTCAATTTCAAGGATCGTAACTCATTATTTTGAGCACTAAATCATCTCAAACTTCTTGGGTTACCTATACTACATATTAGGTACCTATTCTTAACAATTTTGGACACTTTTATAAGCTTTAAAACATATTTTTCCCCTGTGTTAGAATGCAAGAAAACAAACTATTTTTTTCTTCTTCAAGTTTCCTATACTTCTAATCATCATAACAATTAAAAACTAGTTTAATAAGTTAGCTTAACATGCCAACCCATGTACATATCATTTCCACACACAATACTCTTTCTTCGCATTAAAATGAGGAACATTTCCCTCATAATTTTGTTGTAGATTTCCAAGTTTATAAACCGCATTATACAAACAACATCATCAATTTAGGAATCCTAACATCACACCCTAACTTTCGCATTCTTATACAAACTTGGTACCTCATATAGAACATGAAAGTACATAAAATACCATGCTTAAATATCCAGATTTAGAGCCATAAATGAAACTGGATTGTCATGACAAAATCAACATATAATATTTCTAGATTACACTCTCAAGTCACACTCAAGCTCATATCAAATCCAAACTCAACCAAATTAATTATAACATCTTTACTATATTCCAAGTCCCCAAATACAAATGAAAACATTTAATCATGGACAAACATAAAACAATGTTGGCATGAAGTTAACCATTTATTTGAGTCAAAAGTCACTCTTTTCAGGTCATACACTACTCAAATCAATTTCAAATTCAACCAAATTAATTTTATAATCATAATAAATCAAAAGAAGCATGATTCAAGTCCCAAAACACAAATTAGAGCATACTTCCGGGCATATATAGTCAAACTCACATATTAAAGCATATTCCTAATTTATGCAAAATACTTATACTTTTATGCATATATGTCAATTTAAATTATTGTGAAGTATCAAACAATTTTTAAATTTTATAAAAATTTGTAAACTTGAATTATTCATTAAAAAATTTAAATTTATCCATTAAATCATTGAAATTATATGTCAATTATGAGTTATTGAGTGAAATAACATTTTCAAAGTTTATTTTTAAAATAAGAAAAATCTTAAAAAATAGTCATATTATTTTTAAAGATTTAACATATAAGCAAGTCTTTAAATTTTCTTTTTGAGATTTTTCAATTATATCTCTAAAATTATTAATGAAAAATTGAAATTGCTAGAAAAATAATAAGTTATGACAATTTTACTAATTCCATAGTTACAAAATTATAAAAAATGAAAAACTCAATTATAATCTTTTAATTCAAATATTTAAATAAAAAATTTATAATAAAATCATATACAACTGATATTAAATCTTTAAAAAATTATGAATCTGATTTAAAAGATAAGACACCGAACCATAACATCACAGAACAAGTGTCTCACAGAATAATTAAGAATAATTCCATTGGAGGGAAGCACGAAGTTGCTATTTTTAATTTTTGAGAGGGACACATCATCACTACGCGAGACAAGAGGCCGTCTCTGACGAACATTTCGCTTTTGTACTTAACGAGGGGCCAAAATCATAAAGCCACACATTTTTTTTTATATTATAAAATTAATTTATATAATTGGAAATAAATAATTTATATGAATAAGATTCATAGGAGTCAGAAAAAAAGGAATAAAACTCACCAAAAGCGACATATAATATATAACAAAATAATAAAACAAAAGAAAAATCCAGAATAATTTTACGAGAAAAGGTGGAAGGTGGCATGAAAGAGTCTTTTGGGGCCGATTTGTTTTTCATTTTTGTGTTTAATTTTTTGCTGGTTCGTATCTTTTTGAAATATTTTATTATTTTCCGATGATTATTTGTCATTCCAGAAAATTTAAAACTAAAAAGAATGTGTCCACGTAGGAACATCGGAACAAGAATATGCAACAAACATAGAAGAGAGAAGAGAGAGAAAGAGAGAGAGAGAGAGAGAGTGTGTGTGTGTTTTGTGTTGTGTGAGATCCAAACTTGCTTTCCTGGTTATGGCCACCGTGTGTTATCGCTGCTTAATTCTCGCCATTTCGCCAATGTTGGTTTTCGGACGCAGAAATTGAACCTTCCTGCGTAAGCATGTTCACCCTTTTCCCCTTCTTTTAATATTTTCTCAATTCAATTCAAATCCTTGATCCAATTGTTTTGTGTTTTGTTTTGTTTTGTTTTTTTTTTCCCTCTTTATCGACTCTGATTCGGTTATATTTGTTTCAATTGTGCAACGTGCGAAATGAAGTTCGTTGATCATGGGGCGGTTTTTTTTTTTTTTTTTTTTTTTCCCTCTTTATCGACTCTGATTCGGTTATATTTGTTTCAATTGTGCAACGTGCGAAATGAAGTTCGTTGATCATGGGGCGGTTTTTTTTTTTTTTTTTTTTTTTCCCTCTTTATCGACTCTGATTCGGTTATATTTGTTTCAATTGTGCAACGTGCGAAATGAAGTTCGTTGATCATGGGGCGGTTTTTTGTTTTTTGTTTTTTGTTTTTGTTTTTTTTTTTTTGCATTGTTTTCTATGACTCTTTTTATTAAAAAAAAATAGCCTTTTTTGTTGGGTCCTCATTTGTTTAATCTGGAAAATTATGATTGATACCCATGTTGAATTCTTGTATGAACAGCTTGGAAATGTTCGCTTTTTGTTGCCTTGGGTGTCAGCTTTATTAATCAAGTTTTTTTCTTTTTTAATGTTGAGTCCAGGATTTTAGATATGGAAAAAAAATTTGGTTTTGATAGATAACCCGTGTTTAGCTCTTGCGTGGACCGCTTGGAATGTTCGCTGTTTGTTCTTTCTTGCTTTGGGTGCCCATTTTTTTGTTTTAAATTTGGACAAATTTGTGTTTTTGATTGATAGTTTGATACCTGTCTTGAATTCATGCATGCACGGATTGAAAATTTTGTATTTGTTTCTTCTGATTTGCTTATTTTTCTTTTTGAAGGATTGCTGTTTTTGTGGTTTTCAACTTGGTCTGAAAGACTCATCAGTTTGTCATAGATACTCTTGGCCCTTGTAAATAACTCAGGATTGGTTGGTTTATGTGTATGCAGCAGGATAAACTTGGAAAAGATGGGATTCTATGTTTTCCCGCAAACAGGTGTATTCATTGATTCCTGTTTTAATTGCTCGAATGTGTGTTTCTCTTCCCTTTGGTGGTAAAAGTGTGTACAGGATTTCTTGCTACTGTTCAGTATCCTCAAATATATCTTCTTGTTTTTCTGGCTATAGTTGATCTGGTATTTGGTCGTTTATAACTGAGAACTTGGGTGTCAGTAAGAAGGAGAAATCAGACATGAATTTGTGGGTTAATTGGTGTTTACACTTTTGGCCTTATTACTATATCATCACTGTGAAAAGAATTTTCAGCTTGAGCAGCTGAGAAAATGGCACTAAATAAGACAGGAAACTTGTTAGGTACCAACACTGGTAAGGACCCTAGTGTGTTTCCTCAACACGCCCAGCCAGAATTATCCAGTGTTGTTTCAAATACAGGACGTCATGTACATAATAATATTGCTATACAGACCGGAGAAGAATTTTCTGTGAATGTTGGTCTTGATGGAATTGCTGCTGGAAGGGTTCCTGTTTCACTTGATATATCTCGAAGTTGCGAGAATGTGTTTGGGTTGAATAAGGAGAATGGCCATGTGAGATATGAAGATCTTACTAATATTTTGGGATTGAGGAGAATGGACTCTGAGAATTCTTCTGACATTTCTGACTTCATCTCAATAAAACAGCCAGCACAGGAGACGGAAAACAGAGCTTCTGTAAACAGTTTAAGCAAAATTCAAAAGGGAGATGGTATGCTGGGGAAAGAACCTGTTGGTGACCAGTCTGGTCTCATCGTGTCACCCCGTCGCAGATACGAAGCTTCTCTGTCCAATGAATTTTCTGGTTCAGGAATTTTTGATGATTTCCTGTCTGGGAAAATGAAGTTTCTATGCAGCTTTGGGGGCAAAATATTACCGAGACCCAGTGATGGGAAACTCAGGTATGTAGGCGGAGAGACCCACATTATATCTATCCGAAAAGATATTTCATGGCAACAACTTATGAAGAAGACCTTGGGTATTTGCAATCAACCTCACACAATCAAGTACCAGCTTCCAGGGGAGGATCTTGATGCTCTGATATCTGTTTCCTCTGATGAAGATCTTCAAAATATGAAGGAGGAATACCATGGGCTTGAAAGTCATGAAGGTTCTCAAAAACTTAGACTATTTTTGGTTCCTTTGGTGGAATCTGAAGAGACATCATCAAAAGAGGTGAGCGCGGTTCAGCAGA